GGAATTCGATGGATACAGGTGGTTTCGAACCGTGCTTTGTGACATACCTTGGGCCTATGTTCAGCAGTGGACTTGTGAAGGGCTGTAATGTTGATGATGATAATGACATGCTCCTTTAGTATTATATATCTTATTTTCCACATTTAATTATTTCTTTAAACTTGAAGTTAGTTTTCGTAACAAAGTTCCAGTAAACATACAAGCATTGAGGTTGTACATTTTTTCGGTACTTTGTTATAAAAACTAAACATCGATATACGAATGGAGTCGTCTCTGCGGAGCTGAGTTACTAGTTTGTATTTGTTCTTTTTCAACCATCTATTCATAAAAACCTTTCAAAAGTCACTGCTGAACGTAGGAGAGCCCTAAAGATTTGTTGATTTTATTATTTTGATTTCTATTAGAAAAATGCTTAAAAGAAATTTAAAAAAAAACTGCCGATCTCCTGTTATAATTCCCTACGTTGCCTCTTACGACACCGACGGGATGATTCGGTGAAGTGGATTATCGTTTGTTCTGAGTTTTGAATCATCATCATCATCATTCATCATTACAGCCCTTCACAAGTCCACTGCTGAACATAGGCCTCCCCCAAGTAATGCCACAAAGCACGGTCCTGAGCCACCTGCATCCATCGACTTCCTGCATATCTTACCAGGTCATCACTCCATCTAGTGGGGGGTCGCCCTACACTACGCCTACCGGTACGAGGCTGCCACTCGAGAACCTTTCTTCCCCATCGGTTATCGGTTCTTCGAGCTATATGGCCGGCCCATTGCCACTTCAGCTTACTAATCCGTTGGGCTATGTCGGTCACAGCTCTGGTTTTACTGCGGATATCCTCATTTCTGAGTCTATCACGCAGAGAAACTCCAAGCATAGCCCTCTCCATAGCTCGCTGAGCGACCTTAAGCGTCCTCATACGGCCAGCAGTGAAGGACCACGTCTCAGATCCGTAAGTCATCACTGGCAACACGCACTGGTTGTACAATCCAGTTTTTAGAGATTGAGGTATACCTGACGAAAAGATATGTCGTAATTTCCCGAACGCTGCCCAGCCGAGTTGAATCCGTCGATTGACCTCTCGGTCGAAGTTGGACTTACCTAGTCGGACTATTTGTCCCAGGTAAACGTACTCGTCAACAACTTCGAGCATAGTGCTCCCAACAACTACCGGCATAGGTGTGACATGGACATTAAACATGATCTTTGTTTTGTCCATGTTCATCCTAAGACCTATCCGTTGGGAGGCACTATTGAGGTCATTGAGCATAATGCTTAAGTCCTCCAGCGATTCTGCCATAATGACTATATCGTCGGCAAATCGAAGGTGAGTGATGTACTCGCCATTGATGTTAATACCGTATCCTTTCCAGTCCAGTAGCTTGAAAACGTCTTCCAACGCAGCGGTGAAGAGTTTCGGGGATATAACATCACCCTGTCTTACACCTCTCTGCAGTTGGATAGGTTTCGAACTCTGGTTCTGTACTCGGATAGCCATCGTAGCCCTACTGTACAAACACTTCAACACTTCGATGTACCGACAGTCAACTTGGCACCGCTGAAGGGACTGTAGCACCGCCCAAATTTCGACGGAATCAAAGGCTTTCTCATAGTCCACATATGCCAGGCAAAGTGGCAGATTGTACTCTTCGGTCTTCTGTACAATCTGCCACAGGGTATGTATGTGGTCTATGGTACTGAAGCCTTTTCGGAAACCGGCTTGTTCGGGAGGCTGGAAGTCGTCGAGTCTGCGTGCGAGACGATTCGTAATGACTCTCGAAAATAGCATGTAGACGCGGCTCAGAAGGGAAATCGGTCTGTAGTTCTTCAAGAGAGCGTTGTCGCCTTTCTTAAAGAACAAAACCACCGCGCTTCTGCTCCACGCCTCCGGAGTAGTGCCACCATGGAGGATGGAATTGAAGAGCTTCCGAAGGACTTCAAGTACCGGTTTTCCACCCGCTTTCAGAAGCTCCGCTGTAATTCCATCCTCGCCCGGGGCCTTGCCGCTTTTAAGGTGGTGGAGAGCCATTCTAATCTCGCTCAGACTGACGTCCGGGATATCATCGGAATAGTGTCGGATAAGACTTGCTCTTGGATTGTTACTCACACTTGCGTGTGGCTCCAACGATGATGTGTACAGCAGCCCATAGAACCTCTCAATCTCACTCAAAGTCTGTTATAGAGTTTTGAATATAGAATTATAATAAATTAATTTCACTTTCTTTGAAGTCCCGATACAAGATAAATAATCCTTTACAACTTTTCATTTTGCTAAATCTATTATACAGTAAGTCGACCCCAAACAGTCAGTAATTCCTTCAGGGGGCAATGAATACGCTTTTTTAACAAATTAGCAGAAAATATTCAGGACCTTTTAATCAAAATGTTAAAAAAATTTAGTAAGAAATAATTGCTTTATAAGGGTTATTATACTGTTTAATAGTAATTGATTAATAATAACCAATGGGAATGAGGTGATCTCTACCATGCTGTTTCTGAATGTTTTCATACTAAAATTTATAAAATATATTGTTAATTCATTTAAAAATTCACACTGGGTATCTTGCTGACTCATCCTAGGAAAGCGGTTGCTTTCCTAACCAATAGTAAAGCTTAAATGATTTTCAAATAATATTTTGTAATCGATATTGAATAAAAAGGTTTGCATTACACTCCATTACATTTCTTTATCAGTTAACAAAACATGACTGTTATGGTTTCATTTCGTTCGTCTGTCCTAATTTGTCTCAGAGTTATATTTTGTATAGTGTTTGGCTGGTTTATTAGTACGATTTATAAAACAAACAGCAAAGTAGACGATAATATTCCATTTATTTATTCAATTACAGTAAATCGATTTCTATAACATCTATATAGAATAGCGGCTGAACATTAAATCTCTTTTTAAGATAAACTAAAATATTAAATAACAATAAAAACTATGTAGAATCCATTAAACTAATAAACAACGAGATTCATAGAATGAGACCGAAAAGCGACTGGCAGTTATTTTTGTTCTCATTTATATCTTAACTACAATAAAATAATTCTATAATGTAATACATTGCTACTATACTACCAATTTTTAAAAAAAAATTATACATAATATATTAAGTGAAAAATTATAATAAAATAAAAAAACGAAAAATAAAAAAAAACGTAATATGCATTTCTATCTAATACCGCTAAGGCTTAATCCGTCTTATTACAAAAAGAAGTTATTTATTATTAGTCTCAAGTTTAAACTAGAATCTTTATTAAAATAAAAATAATATTATGTAAACTAACTAGACTTGAGGATTTTTTGGTAAAAATACTCTTTTTAAACCACAGATTTAATCTCAAACTTTAAATATACTACGTTTTGCAATAAAACAGAATCGATTTTATTACAAAAAGTAGCTTATAATGAGACTTAAGTTTAAACTGGGGTCTGCTTTAAAAAACAAGTTCCGAAAGTCATTCTTTTAGTCTGACAGGAAATGTCAAATTTTGCGAAGAATGTGGCGCCAAGACTTAGGGACTTTTTTTGTCATAAAGAGTATTTTTAAGCCATTACTTAAATCTGGGAATATAAATACACCACCTTTTTTAGTTATCCAGAATCGGTATTATTACACAAAGTGTTTTAAAATTAGTCTAAGGTTTAAACTAGATTGTGTTTCAATAAAGTTGTTTCGAACTAAATGTAAATTATGGAGCTTGACAGCAAACGTCAAGTTTCACGAAAACTGTGGCACCGTGGTTAAGGAACTATTTTTTCTATTAGATAAGGGTGACAAACGAGCACATAGTCCACTTGATGATAAGTGGTTGTGGTGGCCCATAGACATCTACATTTATTCTCTATTACGAATCAAAATGCAGATGTGTTGACACCCGTAAGTACTAAGATGGAATGCCTCGTTTCCAGTCAAAAGCGTATTCGGTTCTTTACACTCAGCATACGAAACACAGTATTTTACGCTGGTATTTTGTGAGAGCGTGGTCCTTCCCCGGTCGATCCAACCCATTCAACACTATACTACATACTAGTATAGCTGTAGCATGGCTCTACCACCTAAAAATTTTCGTCAAAAATACTCTTCTTAAAACCATTGCTTAAATCCGAGACTTAAAAACCACGTTTGTAATAAATCAGAATGGATCTTATTACAAAATAGTTTAAAAAGAGTCTTAGGTTTAAATTAGGGTCTGTTTTAATAAATAAGTTTTGAAAGAGTGGAGTTTGACAGAAAATGTCAAATTTTACGAAGGATGTGGCGACGAGACTAAGGTACTTCTTTCGTGAAAAAGACACTTCTTAAACTACAGCTTAAATCAGACAGTGTAATATAACCACGTTTTGTAATAACACCGCCCTGAATATGTAATACTATCAAGTAGGAATTGGTTTCATTGCAAAAAGTAGCTAAAATTACTCATAGGTGAGTATATGGAATTTGACAACAAATGTCAAAGTTCGCAAAGAATAAGACGCCGTGACTAAGAGATTACTTTCTTGAAAAAAACTTCATCAAAACGGAGACTCAAAAAACCACGTTTTGTAATAAGACGTAATAAGTTCATAAATACATTTAGATATGACTAGAGATATGCCATTAATAGTCAAATTAGAAAGAGAACAAATTTATTCGTTGTCATATGATAGCACATATTAGGAATTTAGAAGTTATAGGAAAAGTTTGAGCGCTTATTTAGTTTTATTGATCAAAGTTACATACGTAATACATCTATCTATGGATTCACTAGCATAAAGGAAATTTTGTGACATGACACGGACACACTTAAAAATTTATTCTTATTTGGACATAAAAGTGTCACAAAGTGTTACAGTAAAAATCTGACTAACTGAGCTACTTCACTCAATGTCACTTGAAATTCTTACACGAAATACCTTGTTAGTCAAATCTGCAAATTACATTACAGAATTAAATATAGACGGTTTTATTATGCTCGTCAATTTTTCATGTGCCCAAAAAGAGCACTAAAATAATTTAAAAGCTGGTTCTTCCAAATATGAAATTTCCAGCGGCGTTTGGATCTTCAGTAGAGAAATACTCTTTCCAAAGTTCTTGAAACTCGTCCCACGAGACACTGGCTTTGCCCTGTAAAATATATTCTAATTTAATATATGTACAAAGTAAAGGCATGTTATTTGATATATCTGTTTCCATGTGTGATTTTCAAATCCTTTCAATTTATTTATATGATACGATTAACTATCATACAAGGTACTATATATTCCGTATCTAAAATACTTTGACATAAAAAATATAGATGTGCGAATTGTTAGGTATTTTTTAATTTTTTCAATACTCGGAAATTACTTCCACGATACTTAGCAAGGAAACGGATCAATTAAAGGTATTTGAATCCTTAAAGTCTCTTAATAGAAAAACATACTATGCAAAAAAGTGTGAAATGTAAGCTACCTTGGCCATCTTACTGAAGGCTAATTTGCACTCCTGTGGATCAATTCCATAGGATGAACAGACAGAAGTAAATTCATCACAGTCAATAGAACCATCAGCACTAGCATCTTCTAGTTGAAACATGAAGTGACAGTAAAGCTGTTGCCATTTTAGCGCAGCTGATGGGTTTTGAGCGTAGTCGTTCCACATTAAAACCCATTCCTCCACTGACACCTATTAAATAATAAATACGTTAGTAAGTAGGAATACATATAAATGTACAAGAACGAGATTTTTTTATAGAATTTCGGTGACAAACGAGCACATATTCCATCTGATAGCAAGTGGATGCTCTGGCCTATAGACATCTACATTTTTCCTCGATTAAGAATCAAAATGCATATGCGTTGTCACCCCTGAGGACTAATATGGAATGCATATTTCCAGTAAAAAAGGGTCTCCGGATCTCTACACTCACTATACAAAAACACAGCAGTATTACGTTGCTATTTGACGCTGGTATTCTGTGAGAGCGAGGCCCTTCCCCGGTCGACCCGACCCATTCGTGCTACAACCATAATATAGCTGCAGTGTGGCTCTACCACGTATACAAACTGCAAGCGGTTACTGCAGTTTATGATCACCTGCAGCAAACTTCAAACGAAGAATGCTATAGATGCGTCACCTCTGATGATTAGGATGGAATGCCTCACAGCCTGTCATTAAACTGGCTCACCATACACTTCAGACCGGAAAACAGCAGTGTTCGGTACACTGATACTTCAAAATAAATAGATAAGAAAATGGTACCTACCCCGCGGACTCCTAGACAGAAAACGCGTCCTATTACCTAAAGCAAGTTTTAAGTTATAGTCTATATACGTCCCACTGGGCACAGGACTCCTCTAATTTCTATGAGCTTTTAATTACCTATTTGTGAGGTCCTATTACCTAGTAAATAATAAAATTCTTAACTACGTGTACGTACTTTGTTGAAAGTAGTAAGTTAAACGTTACGGACGTCCAAAAATGAGAAACTGATTTCGTTTTGTTTGAAAAGTTTGGGAAATTTCAAAATGTAAATTTTATGGATAAGTCGGCATTAAATTGATTAGCGTACCTGTCCGTCTTTGTTGGAATCAGCCCTCTTCCTTAACCCATCCCAAATTTTAATCATTATTTCGTGCGTCTCCGTATGCTTAGCATCTCCTGGTTTCCAGCCTCGCAGGCTGCAGATTTTCTTCAGAAAAATAGACATTAAAATTTGTCATTATTAACAAGGAATATTTCATTTAAAAGACATATTCATGAACTGAAACTTACTTCAATAGCAATTTCAAAGTCTTTCCTTTCGATGGTTCCACTCTGATTGACATCTGAGGAAATAAAAAATATTAGGACATGCATGATTTATTAAATGATCTATTTATTTAATTTTAAAAATTTACCAAAGAATACGTTAAAAACATAGAGAAGCTTCTTCCGTCTAAATTCTGAGATCGACATGTTGACCTGTAACAAAGGATGTAAAGATATTCATTCTGTATTTTATTAATATACTCATTAGAATCTAACAAATATCCCCTTCGGTATATACTTCTGACTTTCCCACGGGTTGCTTCATATGGTGAATATTTGCCAAAGTTGCTACGCAACGTAGGCTATAGCAGTTTTGTTTGATTCATTTGAGTATTTATTAGACGCTGTTGTCCATCACCATTTACATTTCCCTCTGTCACCTCATATGCCACCCATGGGATGATATGGGGTTGTGGATTTTTAACGCTACTTATGTTACTACTCATGTTTTTCTCTAAATAAGAAAAATGTTTAAATTAATATTTTGATTTTAAATTTTTGATAACAAGTATTGTTAAAGTAAATGAATCGACTACAAATACCTTTGTAATATTAACAGACAAGGATTCCTAATCACAATTTATCTTTAATCTAATTTCAGACTCGGCCTTCGATCTGACAAATTTCTTTCCCTGTTCTTTATTATCAGATTACCAAATGGATTTATTCCCAAGTAAAATTTAAATTTATGCCAATATACTTTCGCTTCTTTTTTAGGGAAATAAACGTTTTCTGTAATATTATTAATGTTCTCAATAGAGGAGAGGTCCCACGTTCCCATCAGGTATCCACTACTGGACATGGACTTTTTTATAGGAGAAAGTATTTGCCATACAATTGATAAGCAGAGATGAACGATCGCGGTATCATATGTCTTGCAACTTTACATCTGGTATATAAGTATGATATTGACATATCTCAAAATATTTTATTCTTCGGACACGCACAGATTTCATTTTAATAATTATTTAAAATTGCTAGCAATTTTATTCGAACTGTAAGACAGTGTTTAACGTATCCCGCGTGATGTTTGTTTTTAGTCACAAAAAGAAGACCCAGATCGAATACGGGTACTAAATTAGTATTACGTAGGTCACTCAATAAATTTTGAGATGCTCGAAATTTAAAAATGAAATGCACCCGTTATATGTTTCCAAGCCAATTGTTGTGCTAATGTGCCAAAAAAAACTAAGTTCTATTAGTTATCCTGCAACAATGAATACAATCAGCATTAGGGAACTCAGCTCCATCACGCGCAACAATTTTTAGGTGTTTTGCAGAATTCTAAAGGGGTAAAATTAACCTTAAAGATGACCAAAGAACCCGGGCCCCGCAAACAGCAGTAACGGCAGAAAATGTATGGACTACTGAAATGTTGGTGCGAGAAGACCCATGACATACATATACGGACATTGAAAAAATTATAGGCGTTGGTTCGCGGAGCATTTATACCAACCTACATCAACATCTTGGAGTGAGAAAGCTTTGTTGTTGATGGATCCCTCGTTTGCTCTCCGAAAGCGGAAAACAGACTCGTGTGGATTGGTGCCATAAAATGCGTCTACGTTTTGAAAACGGGGCATCTAGGCGTGTATCAAAAATCTTTGCTGGTGACGAGACATGAATCTATCAATATGGTCCGAAAAATAAAAGGCAATCATCGGTATGGGTCTACTCAGAAGGAGAGAAGTAAAGACCTCGCAACGTCAGCAAAAAAAATGGTGGCTAGTTTTTTTTCGTGGAGTAGACATTTGTCGACGTCAATGCTGAAAAATAGTAGGTCAGCCAACTATTAATGGTATACTACAGTTGCATTACCCAAAGGTTTTCAAGCTGTACTGGAGAGAAGGCCAAAGACCGGGCTTCGAGGAATCATGCTGCATCACGATAACGCCTCTTCACATACCTCCCTTAGAACAAAAGCATTTATTGAAGAATCCGGAGTTGAAACTCTAATTCACCCATCCTACAGCCCTAACTTAGCTCCTTGTTATTTCTTTTTGTTCGCAACGTTCGCAAGTTTATTTTCAAGCACCGAAGAAGCCCTGGCTGCCTACGAAGAAGCGATTTCCGAGCTGTTAGATCAAGACTGGCAAAAGTGTTTTCAGAGTTGGTTTAGGCAAATGGAACTTTGTATAGAGCATTATAGAGAATATTTTGAAAAGATGTAAAATAAGTATTAATAGTATCTAGAAAACTTATTGTATATCTCAAAACTTATTGAGTGTCCTACGTGCTAAGTTTGTAGACTATCGGTGTATTCTGTAATTTTTCAGACATTTAATTTTGTTAATCATAAAAATTTTAATTTATAAACTTAAAAGCTTCGGCAATTGTACTTGTTCTCGTATCATCATATCTCTAACACCAAATAGTGTGGTGTCATCGGGCCCTGAAGAAGACCCACTTTTGTCAAATATGATAGTGAAGGTATCAGTACTGGTCCCTTTTTTATTCTTAGTCCACATAAATGACATTTCACGTATGCTTCCGAAAATTTTTGAGATAGATCTGTTTGCTTATTGATTGATCATACTTGATTATAAAGATGAAAGAAACTATTTGAAACAATTGTTGGATATTGTTTTCAAGAGGTCTGCAAAAAACAATTTGCCTCTGAACGCAGTAAAACCAAAATATATATACTGTACACTAATTTGTCGCTAGATTAAGAAATTTTGACTACATTTCTCGTATTTTTATTAATTCCATGTTTAAGTGCAAATTGATAAAACAGTTTCGAAATTAAGTTCTCCAATTATTGCTATTAGAAGGTTAAGAGAGTTGACCGATGACACAAATGCTAATTTGGCTACTTTGCTTACCTTCACAGTTTCATTTTCCTGTGGTATAAATATTGTGGAGATTTGCAGCTGGATTGGAAATAATATTTGTAATGCTTAAGCAAGTGATTCAGACAATCTATAACTTGGGCTCTCGCGAACTGCTATGAGGTTTTTTCAAGGAAAATAAATTTTTGAAACTTCCGTCTTTGTTTACTATCGATATCATCACTCGTGTACAGAAATAATTATATTATTTTAGATTTTTAACTGTTTCTAAAGAAATAAATAAAATTATACGACAGAGCAACAATAATATGATAAAAAATTAAAAAACATCTTGTAAATGAAATTATATTAAAAGAGCCTTCTTTTAAATTGAAATTGAAATTTAAAGAGCTGTTAAATATATGTTGTTAAAATTAACTTTTAAAAATATAATTAATAGAATCAGGCGTTACTATGTCCATCCATTATATTAAAGATTTTAAAAATTAATTAACTTATATCCACGTAATGAAATAAAATTTTGTGCCCTACCTATTCTGAGGAGCACCTCCCGCCCTCCCTCAAGTGCGTTCACTATCCCCTTACCACTAATCTCTGAATTGAAATAAGATTGCGTTTCACTCACCGTTATTGTAATATGACCAGCAATGTACCTGAAAACAATGGTAAAATAAGATTAAATAAACAGTTAATATATAAGATATAATATATTTTTACGTGGTAGAGCCATGCTGCAGTTATATTAGTAGTATAGTTGTAGCACGAATGGGTCGGCTCGACCGGGGAAGGACCACGCTCTCACAGAATACCGGCGTGAAATAGTAGCTTAATGCTGCTGTATTTCGTATGGTGAGTGTAGAGAACCGGAGACCCTTTTTACTGGAAATGAGGCATTCCATCTCAGTCCTCATGGGTGACAACGCATCTGCATTTTGTTTTGTAATCGAGGATAGATGTAGATGTCTATGGGCCACAGCAACCACTTACCATCAGGTGGACTGTGTGCTCGTTTGTCACCCTATTCTATATAAAAAAAGTAATATATAAATTAGATACTAATAATCAAAAAATGAAAAAGTTTAGTTCCCTACCATCACAGGCAGGGCAGCGGATAAGGGATAAGATCAACAACGGACTTTTAATAGGCTATAACTATAACGGTAACAGGAAATTATAGGCAGTTTACATTTCGTTTGAAATATCAACGTTCAGGACTAAGCTTTCATTAATAAACCGCAAATATTAAGTAGTTGCACATTGCATAAATAACATTCCCCTTTATACCCTTAAGCATTACTATCTATCATAAACTCAAAGATTTTCCAGTAAAAGAAATTCTCGATTATAGCTCGGAACCAGAGTCAATTGGAAAGTGTGTAAAGTCTTTGGTCCTGCGCCTGACCTCTTTTTGGTCATCATATCATATCAATCATAGTATGGGTGTGAGGGAATAGCAATTTCACCTATGCTTGCGCACCTATTACTGCACTATAATCCTGTCCTGAGCAGACAGTTAGATTAGGATGAAGCGAGGCCACACCCTGCACATTGAGAGTGACCGATATTCTGTCTGGAGGAAATTGTTACTGTTTGTTTATATGCTAGGTTAATCAATAATTTTTCGGAATAGGAGTCCTATTAATGAGTTATAAATACGTGTTCAATTGTTTAGGAATCTTAACTTCGTATTTAGCCAATGCCGGAAAACTATACCCAAAGTTTTTCACTTTTCACATTTGGCGGAAATTTGATTCAGTACCCTTTTTCAGACCCAGCTCCGATGGATATTTACCTTTTTACTCACATAAAAAACATTTGCTTTCTATAAAATTCGACGGTGACGATGTGGTGATGTGTAACCCAAATAACAACTCCTTGCGCTGCTCTTTCAACGCCATTTTGACAGTTGGCATAATAGTAAATATTTTAGTTGATTTTAGTAGTGCGTAATGTAGTTAGTTTTTTTAGTTGATTTTTTGAAGTGTTCCTAATTTTTACCAAAGCCAGTTTACTATTTTTAAATGTATTAGTTGTAGTATACGTGTTTGAGTTTTTGTCTCTGTCCTCATCCTAGTTTTGATTTTAGTTGGCGGTAAATCTTACCGGTATGGTGACCGTATTACCCTAATGTACCTTAGAGTTACATTGGGTTTACAAAAACGTATTGTTCACCCCAGTATACATGCTCCTTTTGCAATAACCAGCCAAATTTTCAGAGAAAGTACAAAATAAGTAATATAGGCAAATGGTGAAGAGAAATTAATTAAAAAAATCTAATATTCTGTCATTCTAAAACGTTGTTTGCACATAAATTACATTCAATTTGGGATTATTTCAAATAAAAGTAGAAACCTTAGTTACTCGTATTTTCAAAAACTGCAATAACGGTATATTATTATTTATATATTTGAATTTAAGTTTGAAATTTGGCTACTCTATGAAAAATAACCCTCTATATTGAATATATCAGGACGTAAAAGCAACACACGACATACTGCATAAAATATAGCCCTAAATGCTCATAAAAATCTTAGACGTGCATGAATGGGTCAGCTCAACCAGCGAAGGACCACGCTCTTACATTATACCAGCGTAAAATAGCAGCTAAATGCTGCTGTGTTTCATATGGTGAGTGTAGAGAACCGGACACCTGTTTTACTGGAATCGGGGCATTCCATCTTAGTCCTCAAGGGTGACAACGCATCTGCATTTTGATTATTAATCGAGCTTAAATGTAGATGTCTATGAGCCACAGCATCTACTTACCATCAGGTGGACTATGTGCTCGTTTGTCACCCTTATCCTATAAGAAATGTATGACCAATGAGTTTACAAACACTAATACAAAATCTAAAACAAAAACGTTACAGTACATACGACGATTATTTAGTCTGACTATCAACGTGCTGCATATAATTAAGTACTTAATTGCATATTATGATGGCAATTATTTTGTTCATTTTCAACTAAATATTATTTAATTTGAGGGGCACACGGTGTACTGTAAATATAAGTGATACTGAATTTTTTTTAATACTACTGACCTATTTAACAACGCCCCAATATATTAAATCTTTAAATAATTTACAGTAATTAGAGTCCTTACAAACTTCCGTGACCTAAATGAATTAAGGTTGACTTTATTTAAGGACCTTTGTTCGAATTTTATACAACGAAATAATTCCTGAAAGGCGTAGGAAATTTATTCAACATGTTATGATTGAGTTCTAAATGTACTAAATATGTCAAAAAAATTACATATTATGCTTATTACATTAGAATAAAAAGTAAAAAACTTATTTCATCTACAAATGCAGCAATAAAATAACATAAAATATATAAGAGATTAATGTAAATGAACACCGAAAATGCCATCAATTCAGCAATGTTGCAGGTGCCCCATTATTTTGTCAGCGCCACCGACAAAAGTTATCGGACACTATTATTCACACAAATTTCATTCCATCACGCATATTATTTTAAAAATAATAGGCCTGAGACTATTAAAAAAGGAAAATAAACACTTAAAATGAAGGGCAGCCACCATACTAATGCACGTTATATATGTTTTACAAATAGCTAAAAACGAAGTAACGCAGAATATCTGAGAACATACAACTTGATAAAAATTTCATATGCTTGTTACTGCTTTACTTCCGTAATTAGCATTAAGATCGGCTACAATGCTTTGAATAATAAAGAGATTGAAATAAATAATAATAAAAGCTTACATTACGCGGATCTGCGTCATATAAAATTCCGCGGATCTTAGCTAATTAATTTTTAATATATTTAATATAATGGATGTCTTTTTAAAGATGTTAAAGTTTAATTAGCTAGGATTCGCATTATGAAATAAAAATTATATGTCTTACCTAGTTTGAAGAGCTAATGCATTTTGTTTTAGTAAGCGGATCTTACCTAGTTAATTTTTAACATCTATATTATTTCAATGGATTTCCGCATAGTTTACATTGTATTAATGTAACATAGTAAACAATAAAGCTACATCGGGCATCGATCTTTTTTATTACAAATATTTGAATACCATATTTACTAGACGTATGTAATATTGTTTGAAGGCTTGAATTTAAACTCAATTATACATTATTGATGGTGTCAGATATATTGCTTTCGTTAAAAAATCCGTTGTTCACGGAACATAACTCACTCACGCAACGTACTGAAACAAAGGGAAATTTCCTGTTATTTTCCCATAACTGAACTAATAATTTAGATTTAAGTATGGTAGCCGCCTTGGATAATAATACTTCGCCCCAAATCTTTCCGTTTTTATAATAAATTTTATCGAACTAAAAGGTACAAAAATATCTTCTTTATCGCTTTACTAGTAAAAATGTCAATCTTTTTTAGTTTCGTAATGATAATGATGATGATGTTGAACTATTTAGATTGTATTGATTTTTCTGCGCTTGTAGTAAATTTTTTAGTTAAATTTTATTTATTAACCGACTTGAAAAGGACAAGGATTCGTTTGTTTATTTTTTTATATACCTAGTCATATGTTTGGACATAACTTCTTTTTTTAAGAACTGTATGTCCTATGATGAAAAAATTGTGGTTGAATTTTTTCATGTAGACTTCTCAGTTACTCAAAAGGAAAAATATAAACTTAAATAAAACTGACTTTAAAATTAAACAGAAAAGTAAAATTTCATAATAGGAGCTTCTTAAGTCTTTTTTCTTTCATTATTCGATACACTATCTCTTAGCATTGAGTTAAAAAGCTATTATGTGAAAATTATTTTAATTTCAGTTTTTATTTTTTTTCAATTATTTTATTTCAATTTACTGGAAAAATATCTACTTTAAAACCTTACTAGATAGTATCAAAGTTCCTTTTCTATCTAAAATGCCATCTAGCAGCAAGCATCTATATGCGATTTGAATAATATGGATAATAAATACAATTTTATGTTGTGAGATATTTCATCTTTTCTCATAGGTTACTAACCTTTATTATTAAAGATTATAAGAAGTGGTTACTTAGATCGCGGTGCAATTAATAAGAAGGTGAAGGCGTAGGCTACACTGGCTCCTTGCATACAATATTAGTTGGAGCAATTAAAGACGCGGGCTACGTTGGTGTGCTACGTGCTTGGTTAACTTGGTTTTTTTTACCTACATTAGGATTTTTCTTGCATCGTGGAGGCGTTTCACATAGATAAATTCCATAATGGCAAGCAGCCAGACCCGGAAAGGTATAGACCATAGAATACTAGTTCCTTTTAGGCTTCAAATCAGTGGCCCTCAACGTCACAATAACGGATGTAGTGCTGTTAGACAGCAGAAACAGACCTATTCAAATAGATCCAGAATAGAAGTTCTATCACAAATGTTATATAAATATTATCTATCTTCCTCTATCTATATTCTGAAGTCTGGGGCCTTAATTCTGCTATATACTTTAAGTTATGCATTTGAATAAGTTGCCAGTATCTATCGTTTCATTCGATTATAATTTAAATGTCTTCAAGACAAAAGTGAATAGGGTCTTGTTAAGTCAGTACGTTTCACCACCTTAGGCTATATCACCACATACCATTAGCAGTTGGAGTTAGGCGCTGGCTTAGAATAATAAAAAAATTTAAGCACCACAAAATCGGACTAAGGAATACCACAAAATCAAGTG